GGGTCTCATAGGATCATTATTCATATATATATATATATATATATAAGAAAAGTTTCATAGTGATATAATGAAACCACACATCTATAAATCTATTTTTGTGGCTTTTGTATGACCTTAAAAATTGCATTCTCTCTTCCTCCCAATAGTCAATCCTTGAAAAAAATAACATTCATATAACACCCAAGATATGTTCAAAATGAGCCCCTCCAATAATGAATCTAGACCAAGCATTTGGTGAATTTCACGATCTAGGCCTTCACAAACTCAAAAACAACCTTTTCTTTTTTCACATTATTCATCTAATAAAAAAATGACAAAAAATTTATTGAAAAGGAAAAAATTCATTTTAAGATTTAGATCCAAGTGTCTCCCTAAAATAGACGGCCTATATTAATGAGATTATCTACAGAGAAACCCTTTATCTTTTGTATATGAAGGTCACAATTATTCTTATTCCTTCAATTTCAAATGGAGTTGAGGGTAGGCGAAATTACTATTCATTTTCACCAATAGGCGTTGGAAAGACTTTATATATATATATATATATATATATTAGCTTATATGAGCCCAACGTCTTAGATTGAATCTGAGCCAATTTGACGATCACAAATATCCGGTAGTATTTGAATTTTAATTTTTTTTCTACAAAACCAAATCACTTGAAATTTTAGATGTGTTCATCAAAAATAGGTAAATCTTCGAAAATATCAAAAAAATATTTACATGAAATAAACTGACCAAAATACCCTCGAAAAGCTTTGGGAGGTATTTTGGTCATTTTGTTTTTTGCAAATAATTTTTTTTATATTTTTATTAGGTGAGTCTTGATGAGAAGAACGCATACCTAAAAATTTTAAATGATTTGAATCTGTAAAAAAAAAATAAAAATAAAATTCAAGCACTGCCGAACATTCGTGATCGTCAGATCGGCCCAAAGGCTAATCTCATATTTTCCCCCACATATATATATATACCACAGCTATTTGTTTGATTTTAATTATCAACTATACATTTTTTCCATTTTTATAAACAATCATATAAAATAAAAAATTGAAAACGCATTTCAAAAATTATTTTTTTAGCTCATTTTAATATATGGATTGTTTACAAAGAGATCATTTATCTTTTGTACATGAAGATAACAATCATTCTCTCATTAAATATCAAATTGGATGTCTTGAAGTGAACTACAAAGTTCGAGAATATTTTTTTCGAAACTTTGTGTCTATTCGTTTATCTTAAAAGTCCAACGCCTATAGGCAAAAATAAATAGTAATTTCGTCTACCCTCATCACCATCCAAATTTCATCGTACAGTTACGATTGTCTGTTAGTGTTTTATTTTTTATTTTATTTTTATAAATCAAAATGACCTAAAATTTGGAAGGTATATACATCTTGCTGAGATACATCTAATAAAAATATATAAAAAAATTATCCACAAAAAATAAATTGATAAAAATACCCTCAAAACTTTTCAAAAGTATTTTGGTCAATATTTTTCATATAAAATATTTTTTATATAATTTTTTAAAATTCCTCTATTCTTTATGAATACACACTCCAATTTTTAAATCAATCCGATTTATAGAAAAAAAATAAAAAAATAAAACACCACTCAATAATCGTGACTGCTAGATAAATTTTGGACGGTGATCAGAATAGACGAAATCACTATTCATTTTCGCCTATAGATATTGCGTAATAACACAAACGAGAAAGAAGGAGAAGGAAGGGGAGAGGAAATGTAAAAAACTTTAAAAGAGATTCTTAAAGAAAATGAACATGCGGCATGCTAATTATCTTGTTCCTCACTTGCCAATTGAAAATAGAATGATTGAAAGTACCATTCAAGCTTATTCGTAATTATGACTAAAGGAGGAAATTGAGCTTAATTTTAGCTTATATTTGAACCTGAATTAAACGGTGGCTTTGTTCTTTAAACAAACAAAAGTTCCCTGGCCAACAATCTTAATGCAGGCAAGTTGGTTTTGCCTAAATTATCATGCCATGAATGTGAGTGAGAGAGAGAGAGAGATTTGGTTTAGATTCAAAATTGATCAAAATCAAAACAAAAGAAAAGAAGGCCAGCTGTTACATCAGTAACATAATAAGAATCATTCATGCAATCTATGCATGCACAAACAGTTCGTGTTGGGCAGTGTGAGGCACTTCTCTTGCACCAACTGAATTTCCAGAGCATATAGTCGTATATTTATTCTTCTATCTACATGTGACCCGCGATATGTACAATTACACAAAAAAATATGAGAAGCATGATGCCAAAGCTAAAAAAAAAAAGCGATAAGGATCAAGAACTTCCGTTAAATGACATGAAATCAACTCAATTTTCTCAACCTATGATTTCCAATATTACAGTAGAATTGCTAAAAACATCAAGCTTTTCCATTCTTCCTTTCAGACTTGATAGCCTCATAAGAGGTCATCACCTCTTTAAACTTTTCCTCGGCCACCTCTGCAAATAGAACATCGTGGACATGCATCAAAGGCAAAAAGATAAGCACAGGCAACTATGGATACACGTTTCTTATATATGCAGATAGACGTACACATATGTATGCATGGAATTGCATACAAGCAACTAATATTCATAGCCATGCATCCAGAAATCCATGTATGCAAACACACACATATGTATTCATGAGCATACATACATATAATATATATACATACACTGGCATAAATGTTGTGAATGCAAACGGAAAAGAAGAGTACACTACGCCCAACCAATGTATGCAAACATACATGACCGATTTGTTAGGAATACAAATAAAGCTCATCAGGAACCCCGTCATCCATCCAATTGGATCACTCGTGAATTTTCAAAAGAATAAAAAATCTCATTGGAACTAGTGGCTGACTGACAACCCGGTGATGTATGATTTTCTCTATGTGGGTTCTGTATACTGTATTTCCCCAAATGGAAAATATGCAATAATTACATTCTGAAGAAACCAAGAGTGTTGAGCACTCACCTTCATTCCCCTGGTTTTGGTCTGGGTGATACTCTTTGGCCTTTGCTCTAAAAGCAGTCTGCAAAAAAATTGCTCTCAAATTAGAAAATGCATTGCAGGAGTCAAAGAAGGCTTAATATTTTGTTAGTAAGGTTACATCAATGAACATACTGATGCATATGTGTATGCCACATGGTGCCAAAAGGATGGTGTCAGCAATGTGAAGTCATGCAAGAATTGTGGGACCGTCATCTCTCATGAAGCCTTTGTGAGGCATTTTCCTTATGACTACAAAAGCCAATTTTATTTTGACGCCACATTTACAGGTCTTTTCTCCACATCATTGTTTGTGCACATAATCATAAATACATGTGTATGAATGTATGCAGGTGTTTACAAAAGGATGTTTGTGTTTAGAACCTATATCGGTGCACAACAGAACGAAGTGAAATCAACAATTGCACAATGATGGAGACCGTATCACCATCTAATAAACCATGGCACCATGGGACAATACATGGAGCTTGCATATCTATCTACTAGGGTGCAAGATCCAGTGAGGCATAATGGAATTGATGAATAGTGCACACTTGATGCAAGCATTATATTATCAAATGAACCCCACAGAGCAGCCTTTGTAACCAGAAAGAAAATCAAGAATGTGCGTGCATTTCTAATTGCTTAGTGACAACAAATAAACATCGAACATAATTGGGAGTAACAACAATGAACAAACTAAACCAAAAAGTTACCTTAATCTCGACCTCAGTATATGGTTGGGCTCTATACCTACAGGAACAAAGAGAAAAAGTAAGCAATATTTTTAAAAAGATTTGCACAAAGGGGACAAAGTTATATATTCCTATTTCAACAGAATCACATGTTTTCAGTGAAAATGGAGCAATGACCAAAATCCCACAAAATCTAGTTTTTAACTCATGTATATAGTGGAAACCATCTCAAGTGATGATTGGCACCTGTAAAAAACTCCACAAAAATGGACAAAGAAAAATAGCAAGCAATCCAAGGAATGCTTGCCTCAATTCAATATTTATATGGCGTGGGAAACAAAGCCTGTACACTTGAGGTTGCAATTCTTAACTGTCCATGCCATGCATCCATAACACCAATTCAGTAAGATATTTCAATATTATATGGTGCAGGAAACACAAGCATTCACACTTGAGGTTGCAACTCTCAACTGTTCATGTCAAATAACCATAACACTAATTCAATAAGATACTTCATACATACATGAAAACCCTACCGAATGGCCATGAGGGATATGTTACAGTAATTTCACTTATGGAACTAAAGGCTATCAATCCTGTCTAATTTTGATATGATAGTTGGGAATGTATTTTATTTTATGAATTTTTACTTTTATTTTTCCTATAAACATTTTTGAGCTGAAATATGGAAGGTCAATGCCCCTCTGGCTCGTGCTCCCAATGAAAATATAACAAAAAAATTGCAAATAAAATAAAATGACCTACAATGGTGTTTCAGTCTATCATGTTAAAATATTTTTTTCATATTTATATTGGTGTGCAGTTGTGAGATGTAGACTCATCCCAAATTCAGGTTAATTTGACTTTTGAAAAATAAAATAAAATAAAATTAATATTACACAATCCCAACCATCCGAATTAGCCATAGGCCCATGAGTGAAAACACCATAGCATTTTGCTTATGGGCGTCTTGTAGAGTTTTCATTCAATTATTCCTTCCCTTCGTGCTGATTAATAATAAAATGAATTCTTCCAATTTACAAAATAAAAATTCCAAGACTTTTGCTACTATGACCTCAGTTCCAAATCACGTTCCTTATGAATTGGATCATCCATAACCCTGTAGGATACAAAAAGAAACTCCAGATGTTTGATATGTGTCTCTTTGAAGGGCTAATGGTATCATTTCCCATCCCATGGAGAACCCTTTTCGCTCCACTTAGACCTGTCCCCTTCTAGGGGTATTTTCATGATAAGTTCTACATCAATTGGACAATGCTATTTGCTCAAATACCTAGCCACAAACTCGTAAGTTCCTTCCATTACTGTATCTCTATACAAGTTCCTGGGTTGCTCCAATGAAGAAAATCATTTTTTTTTAACAATCTGCGGAATGGAAACTGATCTACCCTTTAGTTCTCCCCGAAATGTCCTTACCTCTCTCTTTCTCTCTTGCTCTCTCCCTGTGTGTGTGTGTGTGTGTGTATAAAGGTCAGATTACAAGAGATTCATCTCCATTATTAATAAATATAAGCTTGGTACATTATGGTAAATGCTTTGAAATATATCAGCCTTCCACATATTACGGTTAGTTTTGAGATTAGGTAAGAATTGAACTTTATGAGAATGTCTACTTGTCTAGCAATAGAACACATTCCCAAAAGCGACAAGGATACTTACTCTAGTGCATACCAGTGAAGAAGATAAGTCCATAATAAGCAAAAGTTGCTTTAGGATAAATATCTCAAAACAAGAGACAATTTATCCAAGAAAGGCTCATACAACTTGCATATAAATGCCCATGGGACATGTGAGAGTCAGTGCACAAGTATGAAAAAATAGATTTTCAACCAAGAATCTCCTAGGAAATGTTACCAAACTATCAACAGTGAGAGCAGGAACGATCCCCAAGTTGAAAGTTCCTGTAGTCAACGATTAAAAAAAAAAAAGTCGGAACTTAATGATAAGCTCATAATGAAACCAACTGCACTGTCATGGTACATAAAAAAACATTTGCATTTATTTGAGTGTCTTCACTAATTTTGTAATAAAATTCATTGAATTACTAAGGGTTCTCCCATAAACTGCAGTCGAAGGCGATTAATTGGCCTCAATTAACCATCTTTTTTATGCCAATTGCATAAAAGTTACTCCTCTCAAAAGTGCTATGTTCTTGCAGATTTTACAGTATGAGACATGAAACAAACCATATGCAGCATTTCTATTACATGTTACAACTCTATTGGTTTCCATGCCATGCAAGACAACTAAATTCCAATGACTTTTTTGTCCAATTTTTGGAAAATTCTCACATTTATCAGTCACCCATCTTATAGTTAAGTGAGTCATATCATTTATCGAACTCTTCAAACGCAACCCCATTAACCCACCAATCCCAAAAGACCCAAGTTTGACCACAGCTAACATCACTTAAAGCTTCAACACCATTCCATTCATATATCCTAAAACCCACAAAATTACATTGTGGAGCTTCATTACTTGCCATATTCCCCATTTCACATACTAGGTCATCAATCCTCATCCCTTCGAAGTCCTCTCTATCAAGCACTTAGAGAAAATTATGCACATGTTGCACTTGCCAATGACTAATTTGTAAATTTAGAGCAATGTTCTCTTTTCATAAGATGGATTATCAATTTTAATTGATTAAAACTCTAGAAATTTGGTAGTCTTCTAGTGTGCAGCATTGCCATATAAAATTATGAAGGAATACAAGTCCTCCCGAAAAATTCATTGAACATTTTTTCTTTTTATAGTCAAAATTGCCCCCGACTCTGAATTTTATGAATGCCCACATTTACTGGAAGGCTCTATACTCAACCCATAATGATGTCGTTCACCCCATAATGATCTTAAAGTGAACAACAATACCCTATTTTTCATGTCTGAAATCAGTGTTTGAAGTATACCAAGCTTCCTAAGACTAATGTGCCCCTTCCATCTAGAGTATCTTTCGATTTTTTTCCCTTTTTTGTGCAAGCATCAAGCATGAAGCATCTGCTAGTAAGCAAAAGATGGGTGGAATAAATTTGGTTAAATACTTGAATGCTACACGATAACCAAAGTTTCACAGTAAAAGGGGAATGTTTTGCTGCCACCCATTTATACATACTACATAAACAAAGTAATCAAGATTTACAATAAAGAAGAACAACTAATCAAGATATATAATGGCCAGAATAAATTTGGAAAATTCAAAATACCCATTAATGACAACTCTCAAAACTACAGGCATGTGTGAATAATACAAAAACAAAGATATGTAATATTTCTAAAAATATTGAATACCTGTCAAGGCCCAAAACTGAATAGTGATGAGATAGTGATGCACCTCCAGTGTCGCTAGGATGAGTTTTGGAGTGAGCTTTTTGATCTTTGTAAGATGTATCAGTCTTCCAGTACCAGTCATCCCTCTGGTACTGTCGATATGCTCCAGGGCCATAATCTCTCCAGCTCTCATAACTCTTCTTGTACTTGTTTCTCTCTCTGTTAAACACACTTTGCATACGCCTTATACGCTCCTGAAAATATGCAATTGTCATTCCAAGGAAGTTGGAGTAGGAGACATGACAAGACAAGCTATCCGATAAAATAAAATAAAAAAATTAAATTCTATGGACCGCCAAAATGGAATAATTCACATATACAAAATAAGCCACCTCGTGAAGAAGTCCATGAATGAGGCTCGAAGAAATAGGGCTAAATATTAGCTAATGAATAACATCAATTCAACTAGGGGTGAGAAGGAAACTAAACGAATAGAATAAAAAAAGTAAATGAGAGAGAGGAGAGAGAGGGTGGGGGGGTTGCAAAAGTTTGAAACAGTTATAAGGTGCCCGTGAAAAACATTGACTCCACTGTGTGTGTGTGAGAGAGAGAGAGAGAGAGCACAACTATCCATCCAAAAATGTTCAAATGTAATTATTATTAATCAGTACATGCCATTGAGAATTTAAAGTTTTCGGGTTCCTTTCAATTAAATACATCTCGCACCCAAGAGGAAAAGCATCATGGAAACCATGTCAATAGTAAACATTCCCGCACAACCAGCTTTGCTGGACTTCCAACCTTTATGAAGGTAAGCATGTCAATAGCGACTGGACTGCAGTCGTAACAAGGTAGCCATACTGGACGGTGCGGCTGGATCACCTCCTTTTCAATGGCATTGATCAGTACACTTATTAACATAGCAGCAAGTTCAGTGTAACAGTAGCAACTATTCAATCAAAAAGCTATTCAAGGGATAGGATAAGAATGGTTCATGCCTGCAGAGCTTTTAGATCCCCAAAAACAGCAGATAAGGTGAAAGGTTTTGCACAAAATCGATGAACTGAAACATTTAATCAAAATGCAGTCAAGGAATCCTTCGATCCCTCCAAGACCAAACTATTGGTTGCTCAAATTTCCTATGAAACCTGCATACACCTAGGGCAAAGGTAATCGAGCTACCAGTTATGGCTCATATGATTCCGACCTGTATCTAAGTAACCCACTTATTCCTGTCAAACTTCTATTTTCTCAAAAATCATAACACTCGGTTGAGTTAAATGCAGTCCTATCTAGTTCGGATTTCCTGATTTACGGAGTTGCATAGAAGCAAAGCTTACTTTATGTAAATTTTTAGAATATCATTTTTTTTTTGATAACTGTTAACTTTTGTATTGATCGAAAGGATAAATACAATGAGGTAAAAGTAAATCCAAGAGTACCTTAAGTAAACGGAACTCCTAGTAAAAAAGAATAGGTCATCAGACCCTATACAAAATGGCTATAAAATTATCCCCTTACCCAGTGTACTGCAAATGTACAAAAAAATAAAGAGAGTAGCTAACAAAAAATCCCAGCCCACAAAAAAACCCCTCCCCAAAAGGAAGTACGTGCTCTGTAACCACCCGAAGCGCATAGGGCCTATTCTTCAACATGGGCCTTGGCTCCGTCCTTGGCCATCAGATCCATGAACCCGTTCGACGTCCTCGAGATATGCTTTAGAATATCATATGTTAATCTCTCAAAATCAAGGTTTATTCTCACAAAATCATAAGTTTTCTATATACACAGAATCCACATGCTAATCAGATCCACCTCAAACTACAGCGAATATAACCTTTAAGTTCTCCAAATAAAGGCCCAAAGAAATTCTCAGATCCGTTGTGCCTACATGCAAGCTGTTAATACAAATCAGTCATACATATGAAAGTCTGTTTTGAGTATCCGACTTCCAATTTCTCTTCCTCTTCCAATGAAAATCTCAAATTTATTTATTTTATTTTATTTTCGATTTCTAACCCTCCAACATACAAATCTTATGGTTTGCCACCTGAGGTTTCAATCTCACGAGAGACCAAATGAAAGGAAAGCACTGGAGAAAATGAATGCCATTAATCTAGTCTATTCCTATAAAAGGTATATTGGACATGTAATAATGAACAAAGTACAAAAGGTCCAAATTACTAAAATATCCAATCTGCTATAAATCACAAGCAGTGCCCCACTCACGCTATAATCTACAAAGGCACCATGCACACACCTCCAAACAATATAAAACACCCCAATGCAATACACCAAAGAACATGGAATAGAAATCCAGTCATCTTACTCTATAAATCACAAGTAAGTGCCCCGCTATACAAAATACCCCAATGCAATACACCAAAGAACATCGGATAGAAATTCAGTCGCATTCCTCTATAAATCACAAGAAGTGTCCCACTCCTACATGAACAAAGCCACCATACAAACAACTCTAAACAACACACGATAATCTTATGCAATGAACAGCAGAACACAAGACAGAAACAAAGTTACATTCCATTATAGGTTTTCTCTTTTTAATTAGTTTCCTTTATAGCCATTATGCAAAAGCAGCAATGCAAGTTCCTGCCGAACAATAAGATCGAAAGGCATCGGTTTCAGATAAAGTTGATCAGCATTGACTCACTCACTTGGTATTAAAATCTGAGTAAAGTGGACCTTGGCAAACAGTCCTAGAATGGTAGTAGTTCATTGTTGGTATTCAGAAGTCCTACTTAATGTTCACCCAAAACAAAACAATAAAAAGGTCCTACGTAGGCATTCTTGTACAGCCAATTTATCTTGCTTTATACTTCTATCCTCCGGAAATTTTCCTATCCTTTTCTCGTGTGATTACAAAGGTATTCACCTTAATAATGTAGAGATACAGACCAATACTGCCAACTGTTTGAAGTATTTCTCAATCGATGGATCATACTGATACGATTGAGGTTTGCATTATCAAACAGTACATGACTAGCAAATTTTAGCTCAACCATGAAGGGAGATGTAAGCGTTAAAAAATTCATCACATTAAAATTATCATCTACACCGATATAAAATACGAGAAATGCAATTAAATGATTAAGCCATTGAACCACTTCAAATGCAAGCAACTCCAACCAAAAGAATATGATTCAATGAAAAATTACGTAAAAGTAGGAAGAACAACAGCAAACACAGTTGCACGCACCAAAATCCAATAGAAGTTATTAAATTGGGATAAGGTTAAGATGATGATGAAATTGGAAGAGACACAGTAAACAATATCTCATCCATGGATGAATCTTGTACAAGTAACCAAAGATGTTGCAAACATAAGCATGTCAAATATCAAGACTTGAGAAGACAATGGTAGACAGGATGTATGAAACTATTAAAAACAAACAATGATGTCAATAAGTGAAATTTATACTCACCACTCTCTCCATTTCCTCCTCATATTCTTCCTGCATTCGCCGATTATATCTTTTCCATGCTTCCTCCCTAAAGCTCGAATTATTAGTTGCACCCTTCCATGAGGAGTATGACTGCGACCTGCTCATCTTTCATATTGAAATATGGTATAAACAATTACTTCCAGTTTCAGGTGTTCACATAACATTAACAGAAAAAGAACCCATAAGGAACAACAGACCACTGAAACGTCATCCATGGGTAACCAAAGAATGACAATGCCATAATGACTAGAATTTCAACAATGATAAATCACAAGGTTATCTTCTATTAGGAAAGAAAAAGCAAAAAATAATTAAATAAATAAATGACTTAAAATAGCCATCTTTTACTAGCATTTTTCTTCCATTTTCCTTCCGTTAAGCAAGTTAGCATTTGCCAAGAAAAGGTAGTGCACAATGAAAGAACAGAATAAGATGACGAAGGATGTCCAACTCAAGGACCCTTGTATTACCATAGCAGCAAAGGGCCCCATTTGTCCTCCACTTCCGCTCTACATAAGTCTACACTCTCTCACTTACACTTCCTTTATGGCTGCTAATACAAAGAGATGTTGCGGTGACATCAATAGCACCCACCACCCAATACATTAATGCAATCTCCCTCTACAACCAACAGAGCCTCCACCCTCCGAAATATTTGTAGCAAATCAACCATCAACACACTAGAGACTCCATCGAGGAATTGCAAAAAACCACAGGACCTGACTAAAGAACATGATGTCCCTTAGATTCCCATAACGGCCCCCTCCAGGTCCAGGGTTACCCCATGAGCAACAAAATTGAGTTTGAAGTTCTCACTACAAGAAGGGACCATCTCAAAGCCAGTCTTTGAAGTTCTCACTACAAGAAGGGACCATCTCAAAGCCAGTCTATCAGTTGCTGCCCGTGAAAGTGCTACAGTCTACTGATCCCCGAGGAAAACCCACTGCCCGGAGTCCATGGAACTCCAGTGCCGCAAGAGCCCAAGAATTAATCTGATAGTAAATCCTCTCCTGTATGGGCTCAGTTCATATGCCGCACCATGTAATTTTGAGTGAAGCTGATCAGTCGACCAAGCAATTGGCTAGAGGTGCAAGGTTGTTCAAGCTGTGAGGGCAAAGATTCTTCAGGTTGATATTCTCATAACATGCATTAACTCCTAACACATTCATAGACAATGGACTATTCTCAGGCATGTAGTTCAGCATGGACATTTCTCTTGGCAGTATTCCTGCCAAGATGTCCCCCTCCAACCCTCTCTCTCTCTCTCAACATACAAACATATATATATATATATATATATTAAGAGAGAGCAACACAGTCCCTATTCTTGCACCACGTGTCCCACCATATTAATAACCCTCTCTTCTCTCTACCCACATCTCTCATGCCCATGCAAAGGTCCGGTTGGACCCGACCCGTACCCAACCCTATCCATAAACTGTTGGAAATAAAATACTTCAAGTCCTATTCGTTTGGGTGTATTCAAGATCATATACAATAAGAATTCGTAGTCATCTTTAGGTATTAAACGACAAATCAGATGGCTTGAAATCTAACGGCAGGTGATTGTGACCTTGTTGCCAATAATATGGGTATATAATAATAAAAAAAGGGCAACAAAAAAAAAAAAGAAGTTCATAGTGATGGTGGCAATGGAACCAACTAGACCCGGGACCCGACGGATACGGGTATGGGTCCAACTTTTGGACCCGACGGATCGGGTCTAGGTCCAAAACCTGTACCTGAATACATTCGGATCTGGGTCCGGGTCTAGCCGGACCCAACCCATACCCAACTGCCACCCCTGATCCTACATCAAAATGTATTATCTTTACTTACATCAATATAATATATAAGTGTCATTTTGGTGGTTTTGTTATAGTGGGCGAACATGTATTTATGAGGAGTTTTGTAAACCCAATGTGAATGTAATAAAAAATATTCTCTCTCAAGCTAGAATAGTCTACATCCCCCAGCGACTCCCTCTTCCTTTTTCTGCTCTTTCTCATGTGGTTCTATGATGGCACAAACTCTAGAGGTGTATTCCCCTGTTATGGTAAAGATGAAATGGTGAATTTGTTAATGCATTTCAAATATGGCAACTAACAGCTTTCTTGTGGTATAGGAAATGCATACAAATTTAATTCGTGTTACCTAATAACATGCTTTCTACAAAGAAAGGTCCAAAGATAGGTTCAAGAACCATTATATTAGTCTGTGTGAAAGTGACAGGTACAGTTCCACGTAGGAGGTTCCACGAAATTATGCAACAGAAAATAAATAGCTTCTTTTCATAGCCTAGTTAACTTCTATATACTAATCCACTCAAATATGCAGACCAGCAACGATATAGCATAATCAAGTTCCTTGCCATATTGGATATATAAGATACATATGTAGAGTGAATATATTAAAATACCAAAACTTAGTTCATTATGAAGATAAATAAATAAAATGAATCAGTCAGTGTTTCATGCATAAACTATCAAACAGTGAATATTGTTTTGACGATAATTTCAACAATGCAAATATTTATTTGCAAATTAGGATAAAGAACAGTCCTAAGAGATAGGAAGCACGTATTCAGTCGACATACATGAACTGAAAAAGCATATTTCATGTACAAGCCAAGTATGTACCTGTGACCAGAGCCAATAAACAGTCCTACGTAATTGCCCAACCTGCAATTTCTCGAGAACAGAAAAACCAAGTATAAGATAGGATCAACATCATCAAAGGATAATCATCCATAACATATCAATACACATTGAAGATGCAAATATTAGTGAATCGTCTAGTAAACCATAAATCCTGAACCTTGCCAGTATGTTCTATAGAAAGCAATATCAACAACCTCTAGAGATGATGCCTTACAAAATATAACAAAACATGCCAGATAAAACCTGAAGCATTTTCTTTTCTATCTACTTTTCTTAGGTGAGCCGTGCCATGTGCATGTGTGGCCATTTCAATTTATTTTTTTTTGTGAATAGTTTTCATTAATGACTGTAAAATGTATCACTATAGTCTATAAATGCTGCACTGGATGTACGCTATTTACAATAATATAACCGAGCAACAACAGGTATTAGTCAAAATTAAGCACGCTGCAGAGAACTGTTAACAGCTATCCTGCAATGGCTTCCCTCATGGGCAAGTCAGCTAGCTCATTGGCTTTCCGCCAAGTATGTGAAAATGACACTACAAATCTCTCTCACAGTCATGAATCCTTCTGAAAAATGTTCCCCAAGCATCATAAGCGTTAGGCTTTCCTGCATGCCAAAGAGATCACATTGGCTGAATCCACTTCGAGCAAGATTGAGAGCAAGAAATGCAGGCCAGTCATTCTGCCTCATACTCACTAAAAGGACTCCTTCATGGCCTCTAAACACAACGGTTCCAGCAGGGCATTGCCACAAGAGCTCCCATCAAATTTCCATTTCCTTGCATTCTGAGAGGTAAGATCCATCTAGCTGATCGGTTTGCTTCCTCTTGCGTACTCCATTCAACTGTTTAACACTACTCGAGAATGTGTATCCCTTGGTTTTCCCAACGTTTCTTCCCGGCCATCATCCATCTATGACTTGAAGGTTGGGCCCTTAGCCATGAAAGATGCAACAATTTCTTTCGAACCAGATTGACCAAATGATCAACAATATTGGGAATCTCCATAATTTGCGACCTCGAGTAGGAAGGATATCCAATGATCAGCAATATTGGGAATCTCCATAGTATGCGACCTTGAATAGGAGGGCTATCCACTGATCAGCCACCTGGGCAGGTACAACATAAATGATTGTCTTAGTTATGGACGACTTAACTAGGCACCTACAAGATGAGGTAACGTAGTGAAAGTTGTTCGCGGACAACATAGTTTTGATCGATAAGATCCGAAGCGGGCCAACACAAAATTAGAACTTTGGAGGGATGTTCTAGAATCTAAAGGTTTTAAAATTAGCCGGACTAAGACAGAGCATAAGAAATGCAAGTTTAGTAATAATACAAGTAGAGACAAGGAAGAAGTTAAGATTGACGGCTAAAAAAGACCAAAAAAGAGTGTACTTTCGATATCTTGGGTCGATAATCCAAGACAATGGAGAGATTGAGGAAGATGTTGCATATAAAATTAGAGTTGAGTAGGCGAAGTGAAGATGAGCAACCAGAGTTTTATGTGATCGCATACCTATGAAGCTGAAGGGGAAGTTCTAGAAGACAAATGTGAGACCAGCTTTGATTTATGGGGAAGAATGTTGAGCGGTCAAGAAACTACATACTCATAGGATGAGTGTAGCTGAGATGAGTATGTTGCGATGGATGAGTGGCAAGACAAGAAGGGAAAAAATTTGAAATGAATACATTCGGGAGAACTTATGTGTGGTACCAATAGGTGATAAGATGAGAGAAAGTAAACTTAGGTGGACTAGCCATGTGTAGTAAAGACCCACTACAACACTTGTTAGGAGGTGTGAGTTGGTTCAACTCGAAGGCTCTAAAAGGACAAGCGACAAGCCCAAAAGGATATGGTTGGAAGTAGTAAGAAATGATATGGAGACTTGTGGCCTCATTGAGGGTATGGCCTTTGATAGAGCTTAATGGTAGACCAGGATTCATGTAACCGACCCCAAATAGTTGGGATTCTGACTATAATGATGATGATGTAGGCCGCAAGACGAGATTTGCAATTTTTCCTTACATAAGATGAACGGGCGGCAGACAATTCTGCTTCGCATTTGGGAGTGAATGAGATGCCATGCACTACATTACTATTTTGCTCCACTCCCAAATTATTGCCAACAGCGATGAGACAGAGTGGAGATTCATCAAACAAAGTGACTCGTTTGACGCAACCAGTTGGATTCCCTCCATAGAAGGTTGATTTGGATGAATTTTACAACGAACCATGATTTTTCTGATCTAATTGTCTTGTCCATGACTGCAATCTATATTTTGAAACACTAGATGTAATTCATTAGGAAGTTTACAAAAGGAGTCACTTTATTTTATTTTTTTTGAGAAATAAAAAGGAGTTGCTTTATTCAATCCCGTTTGGAATCAGTGAATAAAAATTCATAATCACCTCAAAAAAACTTGTCGAGTCAACTCAACTTGGCCGGTTGCCAAGTTTTAACATGCAATTTTGTCACATAAACGCTATTTAGTGAGTCGGTAGACGTGTAAGTTTAACCTGGTGATCACTTCGGTTCAATGTTGCAAGGATACAAGTGCATGTGTCATTGCTTGAAAGGGGAATACGGAGTTTGGCTCCTCATTCCATGAAGAAGAGGATTTGGCCATACAAATATTCCATTTATCGATATGAAGAACACCCAAGTCCAACAATGTTTTGGTAATATTCCATTTATCGATAAGTAGCATAAGATAATCAAAGGAATAAGACATACACCACCTTCTTGTAAAACCCCGAGTCCATAAAAAACCCATGAATCCCCTCCAAGTTAAAAGAAAATGATGATTAACCCTCTCCTTACCTTTTCCACTATCTAAATTACAATATTTATCCTTTTTTTCCTTCTAATGACCCCATCATTCAAACCCTCGAAAAGCGACCCCTCTTTGTCTACATCACCCATGGACCCCTTCCTACCACTCTCTCTCAACCTCCCTTTAACCCCCATCCCTCCCTCCCTCCCTCCCTCCCTCCCTCCCTCTCTCTCTCTCTCTCTCTCTCTCTCTCGCCTCACAAATTGTTTGAATGTGACATCCTAAATCCCATTCAGATGATTGGGTCATTACAAAAAGAAAAATGATAAATGTGATGGTTTGAACGATGAAAAAGGTACAGAGGGGGTTAAACCTTTTCTTTTAACTTGGAGGGAGACCATGGGATTCCCCATCAACTTGAGGGTTTCTTTAGGACAACAATGATAGAGAAGGGGGTATGACATCTTTTCCCAATAATCAATTATACCTTGATTGGTTGAAGATCCATTTCCAAGTTCCATAGACATTATCAAAGCTCACATGTCTCCTCATGTCAAAAAGAAGATCATCATCATCATCCAAGCCTTATCTCAATGATTTGAGGTTGGCTACATGAATCATGTTCATCCATTCTTCTCCTTCAAGGTCCATGATAAGATGTGGCAAAATTTTACGCCGGCTGCGTAACTAACGCAACCCACCTCTTTTACCCAGGCTTGGATAAGGGAAAGTTTAAGGTCCTCACACTTAGTATACCAATGGATATGGGGTGGAACGTGCTCCCCAAAAGCCAATGCACATTTGGTAATTTGAAAATGATAAGTTATAGTATTAATAAAATAAAAATAAAAATAAAAAAAACCAAAAGGCCATGCACCTTTTCATGAGCCTCAAAAGAGGTTCAATGACAAGATTCAATCACAAGACCATGAAAAGCCAATGCACATTTGGTAATCTAAAAATGACAAGTTACAATATATATATATAAGTTAATATTTTATTTTATTTTGTATTTTTTAAAATATACAATATCAACAATCTGGACGATCCGGATTGTGATTGGTGGTGGACGAGCCGTCCCACCAATCCTTTTTTTTAACACCGACCTGTACACCTTAATTAAGGGGAAAGTTGTCACTAAGAATATACACCTTGCTTAAGCATCGATATTAAAGCTAAAGAAGGCTAGCGGAATATGGAGCTTAAGTTGGCTATGGCTAAGGCCTATAAGGTTGGGATGAAGATCAATAGGCAGATTTGAATTCTCAACAAGGTTGTGCGGGCTAATTGAGAGGAATCAGCCATGTAGCCTTTCAGTCTTCATTTATGGGCCCCCTTTTGACTTGTTAGCATTTCAAGGGCTAGTTGAAGGTGGATAGTTTTCTCCTTGTTGTTTATTGTGACTGAGGTGGCGTTCTGCAAGGGTATTATGCTTCAAAGGTTATGGGAGTATTCTTGTAGCGAGAGTCTAATGTGCATTTTAATTTATTTTATATGAACACAGATCCGTTTTAACTTTTCCTGCCTTGTTCATAACCCGAACATCTTTTGTAATTGCAAATATATCACAGGGGAATTATGGTTCTTTGTAGTCGTCAAATAAAAATGGTGTACAAGTAGAACACTAAACTTCCACTTCTTCAAAATCAAGCATCTCTTGTTTATCCAAAATGATGTAAGCAATGGTTAGTTGATAAACAAAAAGAAGAATCTAGAAGAGTTCATATCTGTATGCATGTTGATATGTGTCCAGCATGGGTGGGGTACCCAAGTAGAAGAATCCATGTAACATACTGCAAGTTTGAATTCTCATACAGAGTTTCTTTTCCGTTTTTGTTCTTTCTTTTTTTTTCAACTTAGTAAACGTCAAAAACTGGCCCAAGTTTTTGCGACTTGACTGTTCAACTCACCGAGTCAATTCAAATTCGGTAGATAACGGAGTCACCCGAGTTTTACGTGGTTGGGAACAAATACAATCTCCATGCCTGGAATCTAGGCATATAATCCGGTATTCTAACTTCATAGGGGCTATTTTTGTTATTTCTTATGAAAACTCTTGTTATGGTAACTATTGTATTAAACATCCCACGAAGTAGATTGATCCTTTGGACCTTAAGATTATGCCAATAGGGTGATCATCTATGTTTCAGCACATAACAGAATTTCATTAGCCTTTAGAATGTAGTCTCTGAACATCGTACATAAAAAGGTCATGAGCTTAGGGTTTTGCCAAAATCTA